GAAATCAAGGTGCCAGAGTCTGGAGGAAGACTGGGGAGAAGGAAATGCCAAAATGCCAGAAGTCCAGTGTGAAGCACCCACAGTCATTGATGGTCTGGGGTGTCATGTCAGCTGCTGGTGTTGGTCCACTGTGTGTTATCAAGGGCAGGGTCAATGCAGCTAGCTATCAGGAGATTTTGGAGCACTTCATGCTTCCATCTGCTGAAAAGCTTTATGGAGATGAAGATTTCATTTTTCAGCACGACCTGGCACCTGCTCACAGTGCCAAAACCACTGGTAAATGGTTTACTGACCATGGTATTACTGTGCTCAATTGGCCTGCCAACTCTCCTGACCTGAACCCCATAGAGAACCTGTGGGATATTGTGAAGAGAAAGTTGAGAGACGCAAGACCCAACACTCTGGATGAGCTTAAGGCCGCTATCGAAGCATCCTGGGCCTCCATAACACCTCAGCAGTGCCACAGGCTGATTGCCTCCATGCCACGCCGCATTGAAGCAGTCATTCATGCAAAAGGATTCCTGACCAAGTATTGAGTGCATAACTGAACATGATTATTTGAAGGTTGGCGTTTTTTGTATTAAAAACACTTGTCTTTCATTGGTGGGATGAAATATGCAAATTTTTTGGGACAGGCATTTTGGGTTTTCATGAGCTGTATGCCATAATCATCAGTATTAAAACAATTAAAGACCTGAAATGTTTCAGTTGGTGTGCAATGAATCTGAAATATATGAAAGTTTCATTTTTATCATTACATTATGGAAAATAATGACCTTTATCAAAATATGCTCATTTTTTGAGAAGGACCTGTATAAGTCAACCTCTGAGTAGACTAGACAGAGGGCCCCCAGCATGGTTGAATTAGGATACTTCTAACAAGATGTAAGAAATCTGGTAAAGTCTTCCTTGGATAAGAGTAAGGAGTTAAATCTCCAAGGACAATATACAGATTTTGCGACCGGGATGAGCAGTTTCATAATAAGTGGACCATCGTCCATGTTGACCATGGACTCATAGTCACATTATTTCACCAAAGGCAGAGTTTGTTTATAAAAAAAAAAAAGTCAATTCGGGAGTACGTTTTATGGACTGGAGAAAAAATGAGTATGATCTTGAAGTAGGGTTACAGAAGTGCCACACATCAGCCACGCCATATGATTCAAGGAATGAACTGACTGAGCGGACTTGGTCAGGGTAGTTTTTCCCCATCGAACTAAGGTAAAGAGATGAAAGCACACAATTTGTGTCAACACCATTTATAAGATTATGTGTTGACATATTCGGTATATTTGAGAAGAAGTTATTAAAAATGTAGGGTCGTCCCAGTTGGAAGTATATACCGAAACCAAGATCACTGGCAGCATGTACAACTTCCCCACCACTACAACATACCGCCCAGCATTATCAGCATGCACACTCAAGGCTGTAAATTGCACCTGTTTAATAACTATAATAGCTACCCCTCTTAATTTGGATTGAAAATTGGACTGAAACACCTGACCAGACCATTTTTTAACAAACTTTCTACTGTCGGCAGAAAGCACCTGGGTCTCCTGTAAAAAGGCAATATCATTTTTCAGCTGTTTTAGGTGTGACTTAATTTACTGGAAATTTACTGCACCATTAAGGGATTTCACTTTCAAGCTTACACAATTAACTGGGCAGCCCCTAGAGTGGCCAACATCCTTAACGCATGCAGTTCGATCCCATAGGCAGGGCGCTCTGTTCTATTTACAGGGCGGGGCACCCTGCTTGTATAATGGTAGGGGAAACACTGCCAGGTGAACATTTTCCTTCCTTCCTGCAGGTTAACAGAGTTTGAGGACACGCCCACCAGTCAACTGACTATCGATGAATTCATGAGAGTGGATCTGGAGCAGGAGTGTGACCCTCCATCGTTCACTGCTGGACAGCACAAAGTCAAGATGCAGCAGGTAGATCTTCTTGTTTCTGAATGATGGAGGAAGCTAACCAATGAGCTGCTGTTCAGTTTTTAAAGGGACATTCTGGAATGTTGAAGAAACACACATGGCTTCTGGCTGAGTACATATCTGATCAAAAGTGATTACAACGATTAGTTAAAAAATGTTGCTCAGGAGGTTTTTGAGTTGTTTAACGTCTCTGCTGCTCTTGGGTTAAAAAGAAAGTGGTCATTTTGACCCAATGGCAGCAGGAGGGTTAAAATGGTAGAACTTGTGGTGACGGCTTCAGTTTACTGATATTTGTCAAGAATCATCCCTGATCCTTGAACCTGATCAGAACCCTAAAATATGTTTGAAAGTTCCACTCATTCTTTTTTTTTGTTTTAGGCCCAGATTTTCATGATTTACTTATTTAAAAACTAAAACGGTAATACTTTACTGAGAAAGTCCATTTGAGATCATGACTTATTTAAAAAGTAAACTTAAAGTCTTGAAGTAGAAGACTTTCTGTGCATCTCTCAAGCAGTGTTCTTGTGTGCAGCTGGAGCAGGAGCTTGCTAGGAAACTCGATGAAGTCGAAGGTCAGTCCGTCTCCTCCAGGACAGCTAGAATGTTTCTACCACAGTCGTCTGAAATGTTCTCTTCTGTTTCCATCAGGAGAAATCAGCTGCTTCAAAGATGAGATAGAAACGGAGCTGGAGAGGAGTCGCCCCAAACTCAGAGGAATCTACGCCACCTACACCAAAGAGATGGGTCAGTACCTCCTTCCTGTCCCAAAGCTCTTCGTTCCTGTTGTCCTCTGACTGCTTTGTTCCTCAGAGGAGCAGCTCTGTAAGGTGATGTCACGATGACAGGTGAAGGCATCAGGTGTCAGAATCAGAACTTTTATTTCTGCTTACAGCCCCAGAGGAGGAAGAGGTCCTGTCCCCCACATCTGATCCAGACGAGACAGAGAAAACTGAGCTGCAGGCCGCCTCCCAGCACCTGACCCAGGACTTCCTGTGCCAGGTGATTCAGGAAGAGGGACGGGGCAAGATAGCTGATGAAGGTTTCTGCGAACAAGAGGCGGAGCCAGAAAAGATGGAGACACACGCCCAGGTCACCCCTCTGTCGGTCATTCTGGGAAAACTGCCTAGTGCTGCCAGGCTGGGCCTTCAGGAGAGCTTTCACACCTTGGACGGGTCAGAACCAGGTGTGAAACATGACCGTGAGCATAAACGTTACAGTGTTACTTTTATAATGACATCATCTCTATCTAAAAAAGTTAAATCTGGTCCTCTGGACATTCAAAAAAAACAAAACAAAGCAAAACAACAAAAACATTGTTTTTGTGAATGTCCAGAGGACCAGATTTAACTTTTTTAGATTTTTCTACCTGGATTATTGAGCATGCATCAGGACATCATCTCTGTTTGAGCCTTCATCATTACATCATCCTACTTACATCATTAAAACAGATTACATCCTGTATCATGATGTTGCTGGAATCACTCTTGTTTTCAGGACCTGGGTCCAGGACTCATCTTTCATGCCCATGGCTGTTTTGGCTAAAGTTGCTTTTGACCCGAATAATGTCTTGTTGTGACACACATTGACCCAGACCCCTGAATTTTTTGTTTTGTACACTACTCTTATTTTAACTGAATTTTTACTGTAGTTTATTGTTGTCATTGTTTACTGTTTGGTTGTCTGAACTTTATATGTTCTGTCTGGAACAGGTCCCTCTTGCAAATGAGTCCCCATGGCTCATTGAGGCTAGCCTGTAGAAATGGTAAATGTTAAATGGACTCACTGTACTTATATAGCACTTTTCTAACTGATCAAGACACTCAAAGCTCTTTACACTATAATCTGTGCCCTCATTTACCCATTCATACAGCACTCTACTAGATCTATTTTCATTCATTCAACCTTTATTTAGACAGATAAGTCAAACTGAGCCTAGAAGACTCATTTACAAGTGAGATCTGTTTAGACAGACAAAAAGTAGTGAAACTGGACACGTGTAGGAATTGGAGGCGATGACTTCCTTGATTCTAGGTAAAACCAGCCGAATCCAAAAAGCAGGAACCAGTTATCATAAATCCAATTAAATATTCATTCAGCCTTTATTTAGACAGGTAAATCCCATTGAGCCTCGAGGACTCATTTACAACAGAGACCTGATTTTAACAAAGAATGATGACAACAATGGACAACAGCAACAACAATAGACAGTTATAAAAAGGCATACAGATTTTTATTTTTTTTTACAAATAAGATGGCCCTCCCTGGGCTGCCACCTTACCGTGGTGGAGGGATTTGAGTGTCCCAATGATCCTAAGAGCTATGCTGTCAGGGGCTTCATGCCCCTAGCAGGGTCACCCAAGGCAGACAGGTCCTAGGTGAGGGACCAGGCAAAGTGCAGCCCACAGACCCCAATGATGAGCAAAACAAATGGAATCAATGTTCCCTCGCCCGGACGTGGGTCACCGGGGCCCCACTCTGGAGCCACACTTGGAGGTGGGGCACGCGGGCGAGCGCCTGGTGGCTGGGTTTTTACCAATGGAGCTCGGCCAGGCACAGCCCGAAGAGGAGACGTGGGTCCCCCTTCCCATGGGCTCACCACCTGTGGGAGGGGCCAAAGGGGTCGGGTACAATATGGGATGGGTGGTGGCGGAGGGCGGGGACCCTGGCGGTCTGATCCTCGGCTACAGAAGCTGGTTATTGGGACGTGGAATGTCACCTCACTGGTGGGGAAGGAGCTTGAGCTGGTGTGTGAGGTTGAGAGGTTCCGGCTAGAAATAGTCGGATTCACCTCTACGCATGGCTCTGGCTCTGGAACCAGTTTCCTTGAGAGGGGTTGGACACTCTTCCACTCTAGAGTTGCCCCTGGTGAGAGGTGACGAGCAGGAGTGGGCATACATATTGCCCCCCATCTCGGTGCATGTGTGTTGGGGTTCACCCTGGTGAATGAGAGGGTAGCCTCCCTCCGCCTATGTGTGGGGGGACGGGTTCTGACTGTCGTTTGTGCTTATGCACCAAACGGCAGTTCAGATTATCCACCCTTTTTGGAGTCCTTGGAGGGGGTACTGGAAAGTGCACCTCCTGGGGACTCCCTTGTTCTGCTGGGGGACTTCAATGCTGATGTGGGCAATGACAGTGAGACCTGGAGGGGTGTGGTTGGGAGGAATGGACCCCTGATCGGAACCAGAGTGGTGTTCTGTTGTTGGACTTCTGTGCTCGTCAGGGATTGTCAATAACGAACACCATGTTCAAGCATAAGGTGTCCATATGTGCTCTTGGCAACAGGACACCCTAGGCTGCAGTTCGATGATCAACTTTGTTGTTGTCTCATCTGATCTACGGCCACATGTCTTGGACACTCAAGTGAAGAGAGAGGCGGAGCTGTCCACTGATCAACTATCTATCACTGATCTGGGCCCTTTGATACGTGCTTTTAGGTCCCTGTATGACCGGTGTCAGAGCCTGGTCCGCATCGCCGGCAGTAAGTCGGGCTTGTTCCCGGTGAGAGTTGGACTCTGCCAAGGTTGCCCTTTGTCACCGATTCTGTTCATAACTTTTATGGACATAATTTCTAGGCGCAGCCAAGGTGTTGAGGGGATCCGTTTTGGTGGCCTTAGGATTGCTTCTCTGCTTTTTGCAGATGATGTGGTCCTATTGGCTTCATCAGATCGTGATCTCCAGATTTGCTGGAGCAGTTCGCAGCCGAATGCGACGCGGCCAGGATGAGGATCAGTTCCTCCAAATCAGAGGCCATGGTCTTGAGCTGGAAAAGGGTAGAGTGCCCTCTCCGGGTCAGGGAGGAGGTGCTACCCCAAGTGGAGGAGTTCAAGTATCTTGGGGTCTTGTTCACGAATGAGGGAAAAATGGAGCGTGAGATCGATAGGCGGATAGGTGCAGCATCTGCAGTGAAGCAGGTGCTGTACAGGTCTGTCGTGGTGAAGAGAGCTGAGTCAAAAGGCGAAGCTCTCAATTTACCGATCGATCTACGTTCCCACCCTCATCTATGGTCACGAGCTTTGGGTTGTGACCGAAAGAATGAGATCTCGTATACAAGCAGCCGAAATGAGTTTTCTCCGCAGGGTGTCTGGGCTCTCCCTTAGAGATAGGGTGAGAAGCTCGATCATCCGGGAGGGACTCAGAGTAGAGCCGCTGCTTCTCCACGTCGAGAGGAGCCAGTTGAGGTGGCTTGGGCATCTGTTTAGGATGCCTTCTGGACGCCTCCCTGGTGAGGTGTTCCGGACACGTCTCAACGGAAGGAGGTCCAGAGGAAGACCCAGGACACGCTGGAGGGACTAAATTTCTCGGCTGGCCTGGGAACGCCTCGGGATTCCCCCGGAAGAGCTGGCCCAAGTGGCTGGGGAGAGGGAAGTCTGGGCCTCCCTACTTAGGCTGCTACCCCCGCGACCCGACCCCGGATAAGCGGAAGAAAATGGAAATGAAATGAAATGGATAGGTCAATTGACAACATGATTGGGTATAAAAAGAGCTTCTCAGAGTGTCAGTGTCTCTCAGAAGCCAAGATGGTAAAAGGATCACCAATTCCACCATTGTTGCGCAGAAAGATAGTGCAAAATTACCAGAATGGTGTTACCCAGCATAAAATAGCAAAGAGTTTTAAGTTATCATCATCAAACATGCATAACATTATCAAAAGATTCAGAGAATCTGGAACAATCGCTGTGCGTAAGGGTCAAGGCCGTAAAACTCTACTGGATGCTCGTGATCTCCGGGCCCTTAAATGTCACTGCACCTCAAACAGGAATGCCACTGTCAAGGAAATAACAGAATGGGCTCAGGAATACTTCCAGAAAGCATTGTCAGTGAACACAATCCACCGTGCCATCCGCCGTTGCCAGCTGAAACTCTACAGTGCAAAAAGGAAGTCATTTCTAAGCAAATTCCACAAGCTCAGATGTTTGCACTGGGCCAGGGGTCATTTAAAATGGAGTGTGGCAAAATGGAAGACTGTTCTGTGGTCAGATGAGTCACGATTTGAAGTTCTTTATGGAACACTGGGACGCCATGTCATCCGGACCACAGAGGACAAGGATAGCCCAAGTTGTTATCAACGCTCTGTTCAGAAGCCTGCATCACTGATGGTATGGGGTTGCATGAGCGCTTGTGGCATGGGCAGCTTGCATGTCTGGAAAGGCACCATTAATGCAGAGAACTATGGTCAGGTTCTAGAACAACATATGCTCCCATCTAGACGTCATCTCTTTCAGGGAAGACCCTGCATTTTTCAACACGATAATGCCAGACCACATTCTGCAGCAATCACAAAATAATGGCTACGTAGAAGAAGGATCCGGGTACTGAAATGGCCAGCCTGCAGTCCAGATCCCTGATGGACAGGCTGTCCACACTGGGACTAAGCCCCTCCATTTGCAACTGGGTACTAGACTTTTTAACAGGTGGACCACAGTTGGTGGGGGTCCACGGCCTCTCCTCCTCCACCATGGCCCTCAGCACTGGTTCTCCTCAGGGATGTGTGTTGAGCCCCCTCCTGTTTACTCTGCTCACGTATGATTGTGCGGCTACCCATCCAGGCTGTCACATTGTAAGGTTTGCAGATGATACAGCGGTGGTGGGATGCATCACAAACAATGATGGGTCCAGCTACAGGCGAGAGGTGGAACACCTGGAGAGCTGGTGCAAAGAGAGTGGCTTTCACATCGGTGTGAGGAAGACGGGGGAGATGATTGTGGACTTCAGAAGGAACAAAAACATCTACACCCCCCTGAACATGGAAGGATCTGCGGTGGAGGTGGTCTCCAGCTGCGGGTGCTTGGGTGTGCACATGGATGACAACCTCGGCTGGGGCGGCAGCACAGCCGGCCTGATCAAGAAAGCTCATCAGAGACTCTGCTTCCTCAGACTGCTGGGGCGAGCTGGTCTGGGGGGCTGGGTCCTCGCCTCCTTCTGCAGGTGTGCGGTGGAGAGCATCCTGTGCTCGGGCATCAATGTGTGGCGTGGAGGCTGCACGGCTGCAGAGGGAGGAGCTTTGCAGAGAGTGGTGAAGGCTGCACAGAAATCTGTCGGAATCAGCCTCCCCACCATCACAGACATTTACACCTCCAGATGCGGGGGGAGGGCCGCCTGCATCGTGGGGGGCCCCACTCACCCAGCACACACGCTTTTTGCCCCGCTCCCCTCAGGAAGGAGGTTAAGGAGCATTAAGTGTAGAACTACTAGACTGAGGAACAGCTTCTACCCTGAGGCTGTTAGACTCATGAATCTCTAACTAGAATAATCACTGTGAAAAACCATATCATGTTGCTGCTGATCTGTTTCATGTTGCTGCTGATCTGTTTCATG